ATCACTCATTTGTACACTGACTTAGACGGATACACTTCAACTTCTCCACGTATAAAACCGTCGTTGCTGGTGTTGTTTGTCGTTGTGGATGTGACACAACAATTTCATTCATGTCAGTGACACCACATTACCTGTTCTACCTTCATTAAAACAGCCGCCAGTAAAACCACATCCTACTAACACCGTCTTAGCTTTACCTGCTGGTGTCACCATGACTGCTCCCACCCTGTCCAGTTCATCTGACACCGGGGGGAGTGTAAATCCTGTGTTCTGGTGGATGTTTATGCACCGGTCTCAACAATGAAGTGCCAGTTAGTTAGTTTACTTGAACCTAACAAGAATTCTGTGCTGCTTTCAAATGTTTATGATCAACTTTTCTGATTAAATATTATCCCTGGTGACTCAGCACACTTACAGATGCTCTCCTGTCCTCCGTCTGGGTCTTCAGTTTGCAGAAGGGACCTCTGGACCACCTTTTCATATCAGTTCATTTGTTGTATGAGGGGTTCAGTGCCAAAGAGGGCCAAACCCAAAGACTGTATAAAAGATGGACGTAGCTGCCGTGACGTCACCCGTTGGTTTCTGCTCTGAGAAAATGAAGTCAGGGTTTTGCTACTTCCTGGTTGACATCTTGGATTTTTGGAGCCAGTGACGCAAAAGGGGGGTGGAGCCATAGGAGCAGCGATTGGTCAGACGGATTGAGAGGCGGGCCCTCTCTGCCCGCCCACATTTACCATCTTTGCTGCTGACTGCCAGCCACGCCCCTTGCCCCGATTTTTTTAAAATTCAGTTTTGATTTATTTTCAGATTGGCCACCTGATCTCTGGATTTGACCATGAAAACTAATAAGAAAAACATCCTGAGCTGTAGGAATGCGGTATTTGGTGATCTGTGATCACTTCTTTTCCAATTCAAGTCTATGGGAGCCAGGGCTTTGTGGAGCCAGCAACCAGTGGATGTAGGGATATTGCAGGTTTCCGGGTGGCTTCATTTTTCAGGGCCGGTTGCTGCGTCCATCTTTTATACCGTCTATGGCCAAACCACAAAAAATCCAAAGTTGAGTTTTATGTTTTTTTGACAAGTGTTTCTGGTGTACGAGTTCGTGGCAAAGTGCTCCAACCAACTAGTAACGTCACAGTGTGACTTTGAAGTTTGGCCCATTCAACAGTTTCCCTGAGGTACCCCACCAAAGGGATCAGTACAGTTCTGTCTTATCTAATCTAATAATGGTTGTGAAAATTTAGTGGCAAGCCACAGGAATCGCTGACCGTTATATCACATGGCGGAGAACGCAACCTCAAGCCTGTGAAAACTCAACACGTAGGTAAAATAAAAACCCCGTGGTCCTCAAAAGTGTCTCTAGTTCCTTATAATGTAAACACTTCAATGCTGTTTAGCAAGACAAACCTGGAATCAGCTCTCAGAAAGTAAATAATGTGATACGACCCGCTTTGACACTCAGTAAAAGGAAGTTTAAACTTACATAAGTCATCACAAAGCAGCTGCTTCTATCTCTGGACAGTGTTGAAACATCTTTAAAGTGTATTTAATGACTCCTCCAATAACCAGGATTTATTTAGCAACACAACATTTGGACCCTTATTTTTCTCTGTAACTAGTAAATGTGGTTTGGTCCACGTTAGCACCAACCTCCTCAATAAAAACCCAACCAACGTCCAATCCAGTTCAGTGGGTTCTTATTATCACAGTCGGTATTGTTGTGGATAGATGACAGAATAGTTTCGACAAGATTATTCAACGGCGCAAAGAAAAAGTCAGAGGGAAGGTAAATGTAACGTCAGGCACGAACTGACAACAAATCATGAGATGGAGACGACATCTGAGGAAACTGATCCAACGTAATCAGAGGTCGTGGTGTTTGCAAGACGTTAAAACTGGATCAACAGTTCCAG